AAAACTGTGGGGAACTATGCAAAAAACGCATCTTTGCACGGGCAGCCCGTGCGTTGGCCAATTATTCCACATACCAACAATTTCTCGGTTGTTTCGTTTAATGCTCCGCTTTCCGGCTTCTGCTTGTTTCAACTCCAATTGCCCTTGCTGGCTGTTGTGCATTGCGACTGGCAGCCTTCTCCGTCTGCGAATGCTAACATGATCTTTATTTAGAGAAATCGTTATGGCTAACTCACATAACGTCAAGAACACTCCGCATTCATCTTGCCAGTTGCTGCGCAAGTCGGATCTGGAACCCTGTTTCTGGATAAACCAATATGTTCAGACTGGTTACCGGCCGACACATCTCTCCTCGACGCAGTATGTAAAAAGGTACCCAGTCATCGATAGTACTTTAAAAAAAGAAAACCAAAACGCAGTCGCAAACGGATTAATTTATGCTGCCACACAATTGGAATATAACAGCAAGCAATACGCGCGACTATTTTCCAGAAAATGAGAAAATTTGATGCGCACTGTTCCCCTCCACTGCAGAAAATAGCAGTTTTGCTCAAAATCACTCTCCGAGTTCGTTGTATCCTCTTAGTTATTTTTGTATTCCATTTTCTTTAAGAAAAAACCACTTTTTTAGCGCTTCCAGAGCCAGTCTTTCTTTTTCCCAACATTGCCGGGCACTTTCGAGCTGATATTAACGCAGTTTGGCTTAATTTTATGTCCATTTTCACCCCCGCATCTTTTCTCTGTTTGTTTTCTTTTCTACCCCCTGAAAGAATCCCTCCCTGTGGCGTGAAATTATGTGTTTTTAGCTTCCATTTTTTGCAGTTTTATGTTTTTTTACGTATTTGTGCAAACGAAGGAAAATGTCTACTGGCAGGAGCTTGCGTCTTTGTGTTTGTTTGTCTGTATATGTGTATATATATATGTTATATATATATATATATGTATACATATATATATACATATACATATATATATACATATACATGTATATATATATGTTCCCATTTTGCTGCCCGTTTTAATCCAAGAACCAGAAAGCTAGGAAGCTGAAACTTTCGGGGCGTGTTTCTACTCTTTCTGCGACATTCCCTTCCTAAAATTATCACTCACCTACGCTTAATCTCACGTGTGAACGCCAAGAAGAAACATATGGATTTTTGGTGAGAAAATGACGATAACGTTAACGTTGCAAACTGAAGAGAGAAGAAAAGAGGGAGAAGAGAGAATACTGTCTGATTTTGTGGAGCTCGAAAGGCGCAATTTTGGCTTTCACGTATGCTAACGTTTCGCATAGGGCATGGCAAATTCCATGCTGCAAAAGCGCATGATCGCATTTGGAAACTCTGGGGCGAGTTGCTGTTTGGGTTTTTTTTTTTTTCTCAAACAAATGACTTCGCCGTTTTCTGGGCAAAGTGCAAAAATTTTCCAAATTTTTTGCTTTTCCTGTAAAAAGAAAGGCTTTCTGCGGTACACCAAGAACACAGCATTTGAAGAGTAGAAGTCTGCTAATTCGCTTATTTCTTTTTTCGTTTTTATAGGACACTTCAGTGGAATAACGAGACGATTAACATTTGGACTCATTTAACTGGCTTCTTTTATTTCACGTGGCGTCAGTATGTTGCAAACATATGCTTCCTTCCGGCAACAAATGCCTTCCCAAGCGACTATCTTATTGTTACCGCATGCTTACTGGGCTTTCAGGTTTTCTTTATCTCCCCTTCTTTCAAATCTTACAAGTCCGAGCTCTGAAGCTAATTCCCCTTCATCCATTCTTTCCTACGCAGTTAACTCATTTCCCGTGCTTTCTTGTATTCTATTTCAAACTTTACAAAGCGCAAGTGCCCTCCTCTTGTGCAGGCCAATT